GAGGACAGCAAGAGCAGGGCTGCCCCTGCAGGGAGGAGGGAGTGAAAGGGATCCCAGGTCCAGCAGAACCCATTCCACAGCACCTGCAGGGAAGAGCAGGCAGGTCCAGCCAAGAGTTCAGAGCAACCCAGAAGCCCAGATCCAGCAGTGCAGGGGTGAGGTGGGTCCAGTGTGAAGGCAAGAAGAGAAGCCACAGATCAGGGCCACATCCACAAATGGCCAGGTAGGTCCATGGTGATGGTGCAAGAAAAAATATCAGGCTACAGGCTGAGGTGTGTGGATCAGCAGAGACCATGGTCCAGGTACAGATGAAGAAAACTAGACACCAGCTCCTCCAACACAGCTCCCCCAGGCACTGCTGCCTCCAGCTGAGCTTAAACAGGATTTCTGAGCATGCTTAGAAAATTCTTCCCCTGCAGGGAAAGGTCCTGGGTGTGGGGAGCTGCCAGGTGAGCCTGATGTGGGGAAGATTAATAATTAGGGCCTTCAGAGCTGGAGATAATTGGTGCACCTTCTGTACTGGGAGGTGTCAGTACCTGGAGGAGGCTCAGCTGCTCTGTCCCAGGTGTGAGAAGACAGGTGATGGGAACATACCTGGTCATGACACCCAAGACCAAAGTGGTCACAAATTCTCTTGAAACACATTGTTCACAAATGTGGCCACAAATTCCATGAAACATCATTTCCTCCTGCCTGGTGCCCCCTCCAGCAGGGCTGTGCTCCCACGGGCACCACCAGCACAGCCCCCCTGCCCCTCTCCAGAGTCACTCTGCTCTTTCCCCAGGTAAACACAGAAAGAGCATCTGGCCCCAGCACCCCTCTGGCTTTGGGGTGCTGCTGTGGGGTGCAGAGAACCTGCTGGTGCTCCCACCAGACCTACCCACCCGTGACACTCACCCCAGGGCTGCTTCCCTGATGGAAGGGGCTGGGGGCTGCAGGTGCTGCCATGGCCATGCTGGGGTGGGAGCTCCAAGCAGGGCAGGATGATGTTCCTGACTCAGGAGGAGCTCTTGCCAACCAAGGAAGCCTTCCCAGTGCCACCTGGACAGCAGGTCCCACACTCCAGGCAGCCCCATTCCCCTGGGACCCAGAGGGGACCCAGGAGGCACAGGACACGTGCAGGATCTTTCCACCCCTGGCAATGTCTCCTGCAAAGTCCTGTTTCTGCAGCTTTAGATTCCCAAGCAGTTGTGAAGAGCAAGGAAGGGCTGAAGAGACCCCTTAGAGATGGGTGAGGCTGTGGGGGGCACCCTCTGCTGTCCCCCTGCCCTGTTGGGTGTTGAACCCACTGCTGAGTGCACGGAGGGAGGAGCTGGCAACAGGAGGGTGGCCCAGCCTGGTGACTTGGACCCAGCTGTCCCAGCACCCTGTGACACCCGTGGCCCAGTGCTACTGGGAGAACCTGAGCCAGGAGAAGGGAGCTGACAGTGCAGGGATGGGGGGCTGGGCTGTCCAGCAGCCCTACAGTGCCCAACTTGGCTCTGCAGGGCAAGAGCAGGACCAGGAGTTCCAGTGCCCCAGCCTCTCCTTACTTCAGCTTCAATCCCATCCCCCAGCTCCACCTGCATTTTCCCTAGAAAAAGCAATTGGGTAGATAAATCCATGTCAGGCTGAGGAGGAGGAAGTCCATGGTGCAAACAAACACACGTGGCAGCTCAGCCAGCCCCACCGAGTCTCCAGGAGAGTCTCAGGTCCCCTGCCAGGAGTGTTGGAGCCTCCAAGAGGCAGAGTGGGACCAAGGACAAGCCACTGAGCTCTTTGTGCTTTGGTCCCCAAATTCCAGCCTTGGACCAGCTGCAGGAGGAGCTGTTGGCTTCTCCATCAGCCTGAGCTGTGAGCTTGGCCAGGCATGTGTGGGAGCTGCTGTGGTGATGAGCAACTCCTCAGAGAGGTTCTCCTGGCTCTGAGGCAGCATGACAGTGCTCCTGCGCCCAGCAGAGGGAAACTTCAGCTGTCCTGGCACAGCCATCCTGGGCAACAATGAGCATTGAGAAATGAGCCATTGGTCTCCTGCTGCTGAGCCCCAGTGCCAGCTCCACAGCCTTGAAAGCTCCTGGCTGGGCTAGTGGCTTTGCAAGAGGATCTCAGGGCAGCTTGGGGACCCAGGACAGAATGGACAGATATCTAAGCTGGGATCCTGGGGGAGAGTGGGGTTTGGGACCACCTGAAGAGCCATTTGAGCTGCAGTCTAAGTCCTGGGGCAAATTGGCAATGGGGACAATGTGGCCAATCACCCTCGTCTTCTTGCAGGGAAAGTCCTCTCCATGGCCTGGAGGCTCCTGTGCTTTCTGATTGAGGCCTCCAGAGGTACAAGCTGCCGTGTGGGCTGGGAGCATGGGAAGGGCTGGCATGTCCTCAGCACTGGACAGCTTGTCCACTCCAGCACTGGCCAAGAGCTGAGGTGGTTTTCTTCTGGGACCTGCTTCTTAGCACTGAGAGGAGCTCTGTGGGAGGCAGAGACCTCAGCAGGTTTTCAGGGTGCACAGGGCACCCCCCATGCCCTTCACAGAGTGGCTGGGACAGCTTCCCTTTGGGTTGAAGCTGATGTGTAGAAGCGTGGTGAGATGGAAGGGGAGGTGAGACAAAGGGATCTATCCCTGAGCAGAGGCATGAGGGACCTTGTGTTGCTGAGCCTGAGGGTGCTGAGCTGCTCAGGATGAGCCCAAAGCTACCCAGGGTGCAGCTTGGGGGACACACAAAGGCATGGGCTGGTGCCTCAGCAAAGCTCAGGCAGGTCACTTGGGGCAGGGTTGGGACCCCTGGTTTAGGGCAGGTGAACATTGGAGGGATGAAAAGTCCCTGGAGAGGGACTTTTGATGAGGGCATGGAGTGATAGGGCAAGGGAGGCAAGGCTTTAAACTGGAAGAGGGGAGGTTTAGGTGAGACATCAGGAAGAAATTCTTCACTCTGAGGGTGGTGAGAGCCTGGCCCAGGTTGCCCAGGGAAGCTGTGGCTGCCCCATCCCTGGCAGTGTTGAAGGGCAGGTTGGATGGGGCTTGGAGCAGCCTGGGCTGGTGGGAGGTGTCCCTGCCCATGCAGGGGGGTTGGAACTGGATGATCTTTAAGGTTCCTTCCAACCCAAACCAGTCTGGGATTCTATAACAAGCTCTGCAGATGCTCAGCTCCACTCCAAGTCCCTCTCCCCTCTCGCATGGGGTGATGGTGCAGAGCCACCCAGGGGCCTCCAGCACAAATAAACACCCCGTGGATGCAGGTGCAGACAGCCAAAACCAGGCCTAAATCCCTATGGAACCCCAGTCTCTTATCCAGGATCAAAACAGGCTAGCTGTGCTGGTAGCAGAGTCTCACTGAGCTGTGCAAACCAGCTCATACGTCTCTTTTTGCGGACACTTGCATCTAGTTGACTTAGTTTCATTCAGAGCCCTTCCATGCAAGCAGCTCTTCCTGCTCTCTGCCCAGCTGCTCTCATGGGCTCTTCTGCCAGAGAAAAACGTTCTCCACTCGATAATTTCAAGAGGAGAAACCATGGCCAGGCTCTCCAGCCCAGCATCATCTCATCCAAGGACACACTTCCCAGTCTCCAGCCTAGTCCCTGCTGTGCAGCTCTGGGGGACAGAGGAGCCAAGTGGCACAGAGATCTTGGCTCTGCTGCACTGGGTGGGCTTTGGGCCAGGGGCACATCCCAAGGAGCTGCACACACATGGAAGTGGCCTGAAAAAACCATGCAGCAAACCTGAAGGCCTTGTTCCCTATCCAAGTCACCAGGAAGCACAGGCATGGTGCAGCTACAGCAGCTCAGAAGAGAAACTGGGGAAGAAAACCACATTTCAGTCAGATAAAGGAAATGTACTTTGTATTATTTTATTCAGGATAGCTTGGTTTTATTCCTGACAACAGCTCTGGAAGCAGGAGTTCGTGATGGAATTCTTTGGAGCCCAACAGGTAGAAAGAGGCAAATCAAACCACCAGTGCAACCATCCACAGGATCATGTCCCTGATAATTCACAGCAAATTGTAGACAGGGATTTAGGCACAAAACCAAAACCTGAAAAAGCATCATCATAAATACCTGCTGCTTTTGCCTGTTCCACATGAGGACGTGTGCTTTTCCTGAGGTGCTTCCAGGCAGCATCAGAGCACGCCAGGGTCCCAAGGACTGAGAACCTCACAGGACTGGGAACAAGCCCAGGATTCCCACTGCACTCAGCCCAGACAGCCCAAACTGTCTTCTCCAGTGTGTGTTGCTTAATATCATGTCAGTTGCTATTTTGGGCCTTCTAGATAAGGAGCGTGGTGAAGTGTACCCAGAAGCAAAAAGCAGAAGAGCTCTCAGGACGAGTTGCCACCACCAGACCTGAAACAACCTGGCAGTTATTTCTGCACCAGCTGGCACAGCCAAGCAGTCTTCGAGACGAGCCCAAACAGACTTGCAGGGCAGAAATCCTGCTGGAGGTGCCAAAGGTGAGCTCAGGTATGAGCTCAGAAGAGCAACAGCTCAGGAGCAGGTCCAAGAAGCAGCCTCCGGAGCACGTGGTCAGGGGAGAGCAGAGATGTGGGGTGAGGAGCCACCAACCCTCACAGTCCTCCCAGGTGTCCAGCAGGACCCCTGCTCTGCCCCCCACCAGCCAGGACCAAGAAAAGCCAAGAGCCAAGACTGTGAGCCTGGAGAGGGAGTGAGACATGGCTACGTGTCCTGCAAGGACAGTGACCCAGTTACTGTCTCCTCCTCCTGCTCACATCCCACAGCGTCTGTTCTCATCTCATAACTCCTTAATGACCAGGATCCCAAATAAGCCTGTGAGGAACAAAGCACCTCACAATTAATGGGAGGATGCCTGGGCTTTGCTGCCTGTGACTTATTCACAAGTGAAGCATCTGGAGGAGAACAGAGACCACATTGCCTGGGCTGCTGTCCCTCTACCTTTGCCAGGACAGAGTCAGTGCAGGGCTGGGAAAGGACACCTTGACCACAGCCTGCTCCTCCCTAAGACCAGAATTTTGCAAATCCTGAGAGCAGGACTTGGTACTGCAGTCAGCCACTACAGCAGGTTGACTTTGGCCACAACCTGCTTACAGCCCATCCTGGAGTACTGCTTGTCCCCTGTAGTGTAGTAACTGAGCTGACCCGCTAAATTTTCAATGTGCTTCTGGTCAGGATAGAGCCCTTCCCTCCTCATCTCCTCCAGGAAGCAGTTTATGACATGAGTCTTCTCCAGAAGAACAAACGGGATGATGTCTGCAGATTTCCAGAGAGGGTGGATATTGATCAGTACAGGCTGGATGATGCTCAGCAGCTCTTCAGCTCCCCTTGGCTGGTGCAGAAGCTCAGCAGACGCGTTCTGGATAACGAACTTGGCGATTTCACCACCTCCTATGTTGCTTATTAAAATGTAGATGGCATTGAGGAACTCATTGGTCTGGTTGGGCTCAAAGAATCGGCTGAGAGTATCCAGCAGCACTGGAGACATGAGTTCAACCTCATCCAGAATGAACAGCGGTATCTTCTCCTCTATTTCAGCTCTTGTAACCATTTCAGAAATCTTCTTGGACAGGTCTATCTCACAAGTGAGAGGGGCCACCCCTTTGGGGCAGTGATGCATGACAAAGTACTGAAGCACAAAGTCATTGTCCATGACGGAACGGAAGTGTTTGGCCAGCAGCCAGCCAACATGACTCTTCCCAACTCCTGTCGGGCCATTTAAAGAGATCACTAGAGGCTTGTTGTGTATGTGGGTAGCCAGGTAGTCCTTCAGCAGCTCCATCAGACTTTCCACAGCGACCTTCTGCCCAAAGACCTCCCGGTGCATTGTTTTCTCCAAACCATCTAGGTCATATTTTTGGAGGTTATCGTCCAGGTTCTCTATAGCATTGAGGATCTGGAAGAAGATGATAACAATGAGCAAGAGGAGGCAGCGTTTTGCCTTGCTCTTCTCCTCCGTTGGAAGGTACCTCTTTGTTTTATCAGGGTACAGGACCATCCGAGATTTCCTGCGGTTCTTTTTCCGCCTGCATTTTTTCATGGCGTGTTGCTCCACGGATGTGTCAAAGGTGAAGTACTGGGAAGTTTCCAAGCTGGTCTGGTTAAAGAAAGACATGGGTGGGCCATACAGGCTAGTTCTGTTCAGGGAAAGCTGCCTTTGGAGCAGCCTGGTATGGACCAGCTCTGCAGGCTTTTCTCGGGGGAGCTCCAAGAGCAGGCGGCTTTTCTTCTGCACCCGGTACCGCCGCCGCAGGCGGATGATGGCCCGCAGGGGGGAGGAGATGGAGGACATCTTCTTGGAAGCAGCAGGGATCTCAGTGTCTGGTGCCTCTTCCCCATCGCTCTCGTAGCAAGACGCCTCCTCTCCCTTCGCATCGCTCTCGGCACAGGGCGTCTCCCCTTCCCCATCGCTGTCAGTCCTGGGAATCTCTCCTTCCCGGCTGCTCCCAGCACAAGATGCTGCTTCTTTCCTGCTGCTCTCAGCAAGGGGCATCTCTGCTTCCATGTCACTCTCAGCACAGGACAAGTCTCCTTCCGTACCACTCCCAGCACAGGGCATCTCTCCTCCCAGATCCTCCGTGGCAGAGGACTCTTCTCCATCCAGCTTCGTGGGCAGCTCTCGGTCCATCTCTGGTTCCTACAGCCCATTCACATCATCTTCTTCCTTAAAAAAAAAAAGGCAATGTAAAATCAATCACTGTAAGATAAGGAAGTGACCAACAACAGCCCAATGAGGCAGATACCCCGTTTCAAAGGGGTAATGATCACCTGTAGCAATCTGCAATTTCAGATGGATACCACAAAACCAGCCCTGCCTTCCCATCTGGAGGGAAAGCTCAGATCCTGCTGGAGCCAAGCAGGGGCTCTGCCTCGTGCTGCTGGGAGCCAGGGGCAGGACACCAGGCAGGGAGACCCACAGTCCCACCAGGAGCTGCCCAGTCCTGTTTCCTCACGTTGGCTGAATAAAAACAAGGCACAAAACCCCACCTCTGCCCTGTGTGTGCTCACACCCACGTACACACCCACAGGAACCCGTCACTGCCCACCCACAGGGGCCCTTCAGAGTGTGTGGGATGTTCAGGGCAGTGACTGGTTGTGGGCACGCTGGTGTGGTGCAGGTTAGGGTGGCAGGGCATCTCCTGGGGGGGGATTTCTCCTGCCTGTGCCAATGGGAATACCTGGCAGTCCAGCCAGCTCTCAGCTCCCTGGCTGACCTGGATGGGGAGGGCTCAGACAGGGAACAGACGTGGTTGTGACTGAGCCTGCCAGCAGCACGTGGCTGTGGGAGAGGAGTGGGGCTGCCCCACAGCACCCCGACCCCCTAGCACAGCCCTCCCTGCCCCCTGTGCCCTGGACCTGCAGTGGCCTCTGTGACCTTCCCATGGGAGACCCCAGAGCCGCGCGGGAACACGAGCATCCCTGGGAATAACTGCATGGAGAACACACAAACACCTTTGTCTGGCGAGCAAGGAGGAAGAGGAGAGGACACGCTCTGGCAGTGGGATGCAATGCCAAGAGGCACAGAACCAGCGGGAAAACCCCGGGGAGAAAACACCTCTCCAGGCCTGGCTGCAGCCACGCAGCGGGACCCCAGACCAGGACCCTCCCCACGCGCTGCAGCCCTGGGCTGGCTCCATCCCCCAGCACCAAGCTGGTGGTGCAGAAGAAGCTGTGTCACGGTGGGAGGGCATTTCCTCCCGGCCTCCGGAGCACAGCGGCGCTGACGCAAGAGCCCAACTTGCCATGGTGACACTGCCAACCCCTGGAGCAGGAACCCGGCACCGGCGGGACCAGGAAAGCCGCCGTTCGTGGACCTCCCGGAAAAACCAACCCTTGGTTGTGCCACAAGCATCACGTCTCCAGGGAGGAGGTTCCCGCAAGGATTTGTTATTAACTGGCTGCAGCTCAGCACGAAGCTGCCAACCTGCAGTGTCACGCTCTGCTGGCGCTGGGTGACGCAGGTGGGGAGGGAGGGGGCGGCTGCGCGGGGACCCACGGGTGCTGGGAAGCACTTCCAGCTCCCACCTGCTTCTCCCCACTCCTTTCCCAGCTCCCCCCCAAAACGCCAGGACACCCCGAGTGAAACCTTCAGCACGGTTGCTGCCTGGGCAGGTTGGTTCCTGCAGCACGTGCCAGCAGCTGCCTCGTCACGGGAACTGAGCCAGGGCGAGCGGCTCCTCAGCCCTGGGATGAGCTATTGCTGGGCAGCAATTAGCCCGGAGTGCTAATTACTGACTGCGTGCAGGGCTTGGCCATGCCCAGAGCAAAACCAGCCAGACAAGATTCGGGCAGGAGGGTTGGAGGCCACCGCCAGGGATGCCACTGGGGAACCTGGGCTGTCCCCCCGCCAGGCTGGGGTCACACCCTTGCTTGTCCCCATCTCACACACTTTGCCTTGCTCACACAATGCCTGAAGGTTCCCCAGCAGGGTGGCTGCCCCCAAAGCACAGACCAGCATGGGCTGAGGTCCCCAGGGAGTGGGGACACTGCAGAGCCCAGCCTGGGGTGATCCTCCAGGCTGTAACACACATCAACAAACACGGGTGAGCTTCCTCAGCCCCAAGGCAGGGCATATGTGGAGGGGGTTGATTAAATGCCAGAAAAACTGTGGGAATTTACAGGAAAAGGTTTCAGGAGCAGATGGATGCTGGCAGGGAAAGATGAGCCATCCCAAACCCTTCCCCACAGATGCTGCTGTGCCCCCAGCCCTGCCCTGAGCCCCAGCTGAAGCAGGAAGCCATTCAGCTCCTCACAGCCTGGAGCAGATTCTCCTGCCACAAGGTCCCTGCGAGGCCAATGGCAACAGGCAAAGACTGAGTGTTCATTAGCTGGGAGATGCTCCAGACCCTCTTTCCCAAAAGCCAAGAGCCCAAACAGCACATCCAGACCACCAGGATGGGATGGCCAGCCCTCCAGGTTGGAGAGACCAAATCCCATCTCACCAAGAAATCTGTCCAGTCACACATACGTAATGGCAATCATGCCATTAATACCATGACTCAGTTCCTAATACCTGCTGGTGTTTACCTAGGACTTAAATTTTTTAAGAGCAGCCCCACCTCGCTCAAGGTGATGACTGGTGCCAGGGCCAGTGCTGCCAGGCTGCAGAGATGGGCTTTCAGCAACTTAATGAGCTGTTTTGTGAAAACCATAGGAAAAAATAGGCAGCAATTAGGTCTGTAGCATCACGAGTGCTCGTGTAAACACCGTTAGTCACTGCCCCGCGCCAAGCCCGGCTGCACCACGGGAAGACTTGCACTTGGAAACCCTCCTGAGAAACCTCCTGTTTTCCTCCGTTAGCTTTTCCCCTCGTGTTTGCACTCGTGTGTCACCCTGCTCCTGCCAGAATAAGGTTTCCACAGCAGACCAGCCTGCGTGGGCAGCCGGGCCAGGAGGGGAGCAGGCTGGGGCAGCCCCTGGGCAGACAGCACCCGTGGGCAGAAAGTTCCCAGTTTGTGGACACCTCAGCCCAGTGCCAGCCAAGGAGATGTGTCCCGGGTTAAAGTGCTTTTTACCCCAAGGACAGCAGTGGAGGGGAGGGGGCTGCACCCCAAACTTTGGGTTAGCTAAGCTGGTGGGAAATGGGAACAACTGAGAAATCCCACAGGCTGATCCTGGGGCTGAAAGCCAAGCCCTCTGTCCATAACTGAGTGTTTCCAGGGGGATAAGCAGAGCAAAATGGCCCCTGGCAGTGAGGGGCTGTGGCTTGTAGGATTTCAGTAGCTGGGAGTGGAACCCCTGGCTCACAAAGGCCAGCCCAGCCCCAGCACCCCCAGTCCCAGCTCCCCGGAGACACCGCTCAGGAACCCGCTGGGAAGCAGGGTCTGCTTCAAGGCTCTAGCTCAGGGGTGCCCGTGCTCACCCTCCCCAAAAACACAGCTCGAGGGGGGCAGCCGGGGCCGGGCCAACCCCTCGGGGCCACCCCCACCGCCCCCCGAGCCCCCAGCCCGGCCCTCCCGCTGAGCCCCGAGGACCGAGAGAGCCGGGAAGGGCAGCAAAGCAGAAGGGAAGAGCCGGGAGTGGAAGAAGAAGGTTCCCACAAAACCAGGGCAGTTTTTTAGGAGGAAAGGGACCAGTGGGGAACGAGCAGGAGGCGGGGATGGAGCGGGCCGGGGATGCCGGCCCGAGG